TGAAATTGTGGGGACAATGATTTTGGATAGTGTGGGGATAAAGAAAGATCAAACACGTACGTAGTTGAGCGGATTTTGAAAACGTGATCTGTGAGTTATACATAATCTAAAATATTAACAAGTTCAAACATATGTAAAATATTGGTTTACAGTTTGGTGAAATGGTTAGGTGGAAATCATAAATGCACATTTATTAACAATGAGGGTAAATTGGTCTTTTCCCATGAATAAAATATTTAAGGGATCATAAATAAGGGGTGGAGGGGTCACAAATTAGGTTTTTTAAAAATGGGGTCATTTATCCAGTTTCAGTTATTGAAGGGGTCATAAATTCAAATTTCCCTTACGCTTTTGTGGCACACGGAGATAGGTATAAATACTCCAATTGTAATGCCCCGCGTACCGAGTCAACTAGGATGTCATCCAGTCGAAGATTGTGCCGAGTCAAACACGTTTAACTTTGAAGTTYTTACAATTGGGTTACCGAAAAGAATGTAGAAATGTACACGTTGTTAGTATAAGTAGTAACTATTACTTCTTTTAAACTTTCTTAACCATGTTTCTATGGTTTCAGGATCTTTCTCATTCGGATGCGGTATCGGTTTGTGCCTCTCATTTCTACTCGAGCGTCACATGAGATTCGGACCAGTATTTGAAATCCGGGTCCAAATCCTAAACTTGGAAGCATTGCCTTTTTGATTTACCTAGAAAGAAATTGTTATTACAAGTTTGTTACGAGAAAGTTCAGTGAGTTTTAATGAAGTTTATAATGTTGCTCTAGTTTTATAATGTTTTTCAGAGCTTGAACTACAGTTGTTTATGAAAGAAGTTTTATGACAATATTTTCTTATTAACTTACTACTACTCCTTTAGCTTTCCAGCTCACTCTTTATCTTTACTTTCCCCCTCATTGTACTTCAGTTTCTAAGTTTAAAAGAGCTGTCATCTAGAGTAATTCAAGAATTGCATATCATTTTGTACGTATATGTAATTTATTTGTAAAGAATTTTATATTTACATCAGGTTGGAAGAAAAGAATGTTTAGAATGGATGTTTTGTAAATATTATTATTTTATAGTGCATCCATTCAGAGTTTATAGCCCAAGATACAGATCAAAGAAAGAGGAAGTTGACCATGGACTCCATAGTTAGTCGAGGTATGTGGTCGACGCGACTAGTTTCTAAGACTAGTAGGCGTTTTGGGACGGATCGTGTCAGTTTGGTATTAGAGCGGAACCTCTCCCAATAAGACGTGGTTCGGGAAAAACCAAGCAGAAGCTAGTAGACATGAGGGGTACATAAATGAACCGATACCACATCCGGATGAGAGGGATCCTGAGACCAAAGAAGCATGGTTAAGAAGCTTAAAAGAAATAATAGTCACTACTTATACTAACAATGTGCACTTTTATTTGGTTACTCAATTGTAGTGACCTCCTAGCTGCTTTACGAATCCTGGGCCTAGGACGTTACACCAATCTTTTCAAAAATTTTGATACTACCTTTGATCTTTGATAAATATTAAAAAAAATATTTTTAGCAATTAATATTTTGAATCAAAAGTTAATTGGGCAAAAACTAGAAGTGATAAGTGGAAGCTTCTATGGAACAATTAACTAACCTTGCTAGGGGTGCACAACGAAACCGATGAAACCGACAAAATTTTCAGTTTGACGTTTGACGGTTCGGTTTGGTTAAACGAAATAGCCGGACCGAACTGCATCCTTGTTTCCATTTAATTTTATATATTTATTTACATTATAATTAAAGATTAAAAAAAATTGTGTGATGGTTGTGGCAGGTTGCAGTGCATTCAATGCGCTACACGCCAGCCATATATATATATATTTTTAATACTTGTTTAATTGTTTAAYTTTAAATAATATTTCAAATTTAACTTTTTCAAATTTTGATTTCATTAGTTAATTATTTTATTTTGTATTTGTTTTTCCCTTTCTTTTTATAATACTAGTCTTTTACACATATCACGCACGTGATATCTCYAATTTATCTATATATTAAATTTAATAGGAAACTTATCAATTTATATTGAATAATTAAAATTTTTATAAGAATTAAATTAATAAATTCTAACCATACATATATATTTTAAGAACAAAAATAACAACAAAATTAATTATAAAATATATATTTTTAATCATATCCATATATAAAACGAGAAGACAAAGTTTTGTTTATTATTAAATTATAATTAAGGACAATTATTCATTAATTTGATCTAATTTAAAAATAAAAATTAATTTACGTATTTCTAATTTAAAATAAAATATCAATATTTTATTAAACTTTCGTGATAAGATAATTTAATTAAAAATAAAATTTAAAAATTTAAAAGCGTATATAAAATTTTAAAACAAYATAATAATTTTAAGATTAATTATAAAATCATATTAAGAATAATAGTCCGTAAGAGGGAAGAAAATTGAAAAACATTACCTCAATTTAATGTTTTAGATTGCCTAAGCAATAGTTACTGTGATTTTTTTTTTCTTTTTTCACCTCAAGACACATTTTTTGTTTAATGCATATAGGAAATAAGGGATTATTTATATTTAGAAATTAAATAAGAAAAGAAGAGAAAGAGGTGAAAGATAAGGTGAGAGATAAAAATTKTTTGATTTTGTAGCATATACAATAAAAAACCTGCGTCATAATTATGGAAAGATGAACCTTCAAAATTAAACAAACTCAATTCAAATTTTTTTTTAAATAAAAGAACTTTATTCAATTCAAATTAAAGATTAAACAAACAAATATTCAAATTCAAAATTGAACTAACCTAACCTACCTAACAATTAACATTACATTATTTCAAATCAAACAAAAAATTAGGAGTTAATTTGAGTATTATATTTTGTAATTTCAAAGGGCTAGAAACACAATAATAACATTTTAAAGTTATTAGAAAAATAATTAAGAACATTTTAATGGCCAACTAAAAGAGAGTTAGATTCTAAAAATTAGTAATGGAGGTAATTTGAATTTTATATTTATACACCATTATTGTTATCATTGCAAAATAATAATAAGTGATATAAAAGACAAAACTAATTATATAAATAATAACTAAGAACATCTAAACAACATTGAGAATGATTCAAATAATCGATTTTCTGATGGGAAAAAGAGGAAAATTTAGAGTGTTAATTGATCAAAATGGATACCAAAGATTATAGTAGTTACAATTTATGAAGCGAAGATTGAGGACGACCACCCCACCTGAAGATACCTTCATCGAACAATTGCAAAGGGAGATGGCGGTTTTCTAAATCTTTCATCTCTCCATTATGAATCACATACAAAATTTTGCTTATTGTCAAATTTCATAGTACATAGGCAGAAGAGAAGAAGAACGTTACCTTTTTCAGGTTCGAATCTAGAATTGAGAATGATGACAGTGAAAAAGGCCGAGCGGCTTAGTCTTTGCCGGAGAGAGTGAGAGTGATCGGTGATGGTCGTCTGAGAAGATTTAGAAATATATATAAAAACTGAAGTGCTATTCTGCTCATTGTGTTAGGAGAATGCAGGRAGTGGTTTACATGAATTGGAAGCTATGTGGCTTTGAATGGAGGGAGAGGGATGAAAGARACATATTTATTGCTCCAAAACCTGAAAATGAATTCATCAATTTTATTGATTGTTTTTTCTTATCGATTTAATTTTTGTTTCAAATGAGTCTACACTTTTCGATATTAAAGACAAATGAGTGTGAATTAATGGTTAGATAGATGGGAGCGTTTTAAGGAAAAAACAAACAAAAAATTCAATGTATTCCATCAATAATAGAATAGATTTAAGGAGTAATTGATCACTCCATTACGTGAAAGGGAAGGTGAGAGATTTTAGGATTAATTATTTTAATTTTATATTTGATAATGAAAGGATAAATTAGATATTAAATGTAATAGTGAAGGATATAATAGTCCAAAAAATATTTTTTCCACATCCGTATTTTTTTGGTATATTATAGATATAGATATASATAAATTATATTTTATTTTTACAAAAGTAAAACTTTGAATTTGAAATTAGGGTTGGTAACTGTCTTGTTCCTATTCCATTCCTCTCTGTCTCCTTTTCCATTCTCTCCCTCTTCTCTCTTCCATTTTTTCTCTTCCAATCTCAAATCTTACTTTTTTTTTTCACTATTTCAATCTCAAATCTCACCACCACATTGGCTATTTGTCATCCGTTTTTACCACTGTCTGTCGCTTACCACCATCCACCCACGTTGTTGCCTTCGCCGAATCGCTACTGCCACTACCTATTATTGTGAGAGCAATTCAACTTTAAAGGTAAAATCAATCTCATACGATCTAGAGTCCAAACCGCAGGAACGWAACTGAATTGTCAGTTCGATTAAGCTATGCACTTCGGTTCGGCTCGATTCTATAAATTTTCTTTTTAAAAAATCGATTCGGTTTCGGTTCAGTATTCAAACCGAATCGTGAACACCCTTAGACCTTGCAACAACAAATTTGACCTTTAATAACGATAGAAAAAATTAAGAGTAGACATAATGGTAGACTCACAATCAACCGCGTTAAAGATCAAATTTGTTGCAATGATTCTAGACAAGCTTCCACATCAATTGTCGTGCCGTTCTAGATTTTGATAGGTTAATTTTTCGTTCAAAATATTAAATATGTTTGTTCAAATGGTATTTTTGAAATGTTTTTGAAAGGTTAAGAATAATATTGAAACTTTTCAAAGAATATGGATATTTTTTAAACAAATAGCAAAGTTGAATCATTATTATTATTATTTTTTAACTTAGCCAATATTTTAAATAAAAATGTAGAGTAAATTACAACAACTTTTAGATTTGTGTCTAATAAGACCTAGGAATGAAAACCATCATTCCATGGTGTCTACCTTACAATGGTGCTTACTTTCAACTAAATTAACGAGGTAAATCGGTGATATCCATCTAAAATTTTGGATTAATTCCTCCTTAAAATGAGTAATTTAAAATCTTGGTCATTAACGTCCGTATTCCTTATTTCACTGGCCCAACACTTTTTAAATAATTACTTTACAACTTTTCTTTTTCCCTTCTATCTGTTTCGCAGTAATTGTCATACAATTTTTTCAATTTATACTACTTATTGAAATTTATAAAATTTCAGATTTGATTAGATAAAATTAAAAATTAAAAATAAAATAAATAAAAGAGGTAATTTTTTTTCCAATATTTGTTCAAGTCAGACAGAACCAGAAGCAAAACTAGAACACTAAAACTTAGAATAGAAGCGGTGGAGAGAGGAAGAAGGAAAATTAACTATGGGGATATCGCCCTCGAAACGAGTCCAAAATTCACTATCAAACTCGCCCGAGTTCGACTCAGCCTGCGACTCGACCTTCTCCCACTGCCTTTCTCAGACGCAGCACGCATACGACGGCGTTTTCCCCTACCAACTCTGCGCCGCCGCCGCCCACCTCCACCGCCTCCTCACCGCCGTCCGGCCCCATCCTCTCATACTCAAGTGGCTCCCGTCTCCCCCGACTCGCCTCCAGGTCGACTCGGCCCTCCGAGTCATCAAGCGCGCCGACTCGGACCGCGACGACGAAACCCTAGGCCCGATCCGCTTCAAGCGTTGGGCGATCGAACTGTTTGCAGAGGCTGTGGCGGAGAACGTCGGAAGAGAGGTTCTGTTTCGAATCCCGGTCGGAGCCGCCGGAATCGCCGGACTCGGCGCCGTGACTCGGGCCGGGAAGAACCTGGTTGGGACTGTGGTTGCAGCGTACGCGTTTGGTGTTGCGGCTTCCGTATACCTGAGCTTGTCTGAGTAGCCAACCAATTAGTGGATAATTTATGTATAAGTTTTTTTCCCATTTAAATAAAAACTTAAAAACAATTGTAAAATTATAATCCACCAATCAGGGTTCAAACTGTCAATGTTGATGAAAATGTCGAGGTCCCGATTTTACAGATATGTCCATGAACAATGGATATTTTGGAAAAATAATGGAAATTGTGGAAATTGATGGAAATTTTTTGAATTAGCAAATAAAACGCTTAATTAGCCTATAATTGATCACTTTTAACCATTAAATGAAAGAATATGATCATTTTACTTATGAAAATATCGATGTCGATGGAAATATCGAAAAAATATTTTTCCTTATTTGAATATGTAAAGTAAACTTTAATTATAAACTTTTGACTACTTCTTTAGTGTTTTTCATAATAGGATTTATTTGGAAATGAGATAATTACCGATTTTCAAACACATTTCTAAATTCTAGTTAACTCGTACCGGTTTACTTTTTACCTACTTCTCTTTTCAAATTTGAATTTACACATTTTTCAAACACATTTTCAAATTAATCATCAATCCAACTTTCCAATCAAATTTACACAATTTTCAAATATCTCAATCTCGTGATTGTGTCATTCATCCAAATTATCTACCAATGGGATCCATATATGCTTCATATTCTATAAACAACTACCTTCAAAACTTACAATCTAGGATGACGGGGAGAACTATTGTAATTTATATAAACGTTATCAACATAGTGCACTAGATTCTTCGAGATCATGTTTTGGGTATTCATTAAGTTACATATTCTATTTCATGTTTCACCACTATTTGTATATAGTAATATTTTATTTTTTACAAATTCTAAGATTATGTCAATATTTCATTGTTCAATTGTGTAAGAAAGGACTAAATTGGATTAGAAATTATTAATAAAAGTAAATTCCAAATCTTATTAGTTATACTTTATACAGTATTAAAATTCAAATGTTTCATTAAACATACTAAGATTATAATCATCGAGATTGTGAGAAATTATAGACTATAATGACATAGTAGGAAGATGATAAAAATAAAATAACCGAAGAGGAAAAAAAAAAGATATGTCGACATTTCGACATGTCGACGACATGAGAAAAAATCGATTTTTCCTCTATGTCGATGTCGACGTCTCTCGATATTTCTGCCACTCATGTAAAATTATAACGAAAACTTTTAAGTTTTTATTCAAACGAAACAATTGTAAAATTCGCTCGGGACAAGTGGTGGAGTTGTTTAACTTAGAGAGTTGTTTAGTCTTGAGTTTTGTATAATTCATATAAATATACGTAAAAGGAATTTCTAAATATTCATGATTATAATTGAAAATAATTTTTTTTTGAACAAAATTGAAAATAATTATACATATATATCTATAAATTTTAAAAAATATATTCATATTATAATTTTAAAGATTTCAATATTTATAATGGGGATATGGAGTTGGAACGGAAACAATTAATTTGTCAAAAAAATTTAAAATAATTAAATAAAAAAGAGTTAGGTTAAAAAACACTCTTAGTTATTATATTTTCATTTGAGTAAAAATTTAGTCTCTATACTTCCAAATGAGTAACAATTTAGTTCTCAAATTTTAGTATATAATAGTTTAACCGTCGTGGTTTAAAGTGTGTAACAATTTAGTCTCTATCGTGAAAATTTTTGTCAAGTTTCTTATATATGTAGATCGAAGAATTGATAAGGGACCAAATACATTTATAATTGACAAAGATTAAATTGTTATATGAAAAAAAAAATCAACGCTTGATTCAATGAAACTTTTTACAGTAATGACTAAATTATTATAAAATTTAAATTATAGAGACTAAATTGTTATGTATTAAAGCTCAAAGACTGAATTGTTACTAATTTAGACTAAATTTTACAAATTGAAATTCATGGACTAAATCRACATTTTAATGAAATAACAAGGCTCAAATGTTTTTTTAACCCAAAAAAATAGAATAAAAAAGAAGAGAGGGAAATGGTGGGACTGATCAAATTTATTGAAGGAAGAAATGGTGAGACTCACAAAAATTATGTAAAAGAAGGCCACATTGTGAGAGGAAAAAGATAGTAAATTTACTATCTTGAAGAGAAAAATACGTGACTATAGATCAATGTTCAAAATGTCGATGTCGATGAAAATGTCGAGGTCCCGATTTTACGGACATGTCGATGAACTTGTCAATGTCGATGAATATTTCGAAAAAATAATGGAAATTGTGGAAATTGATGTAAATTTTTTGAATTAGCAAATAAAACTTGAATTGCAGCTTAATTAGCCTATAATTGATCACCATTAAAGGTAAGAATATGACCATTTTACTTATGAAGATGTCGATGTCGATGGAAATATCGAAAAAAAGATTTTTTTCCTTTAATGAAGATTGATGGAAATTATTTGAAGATGTAAAGTAAATTTTAATTGTAAACTTTTAACTACTTCTTTAGTGTTTTTCATAAGGATAAAACTTGGCTCATAAACAACCTTGTCCTTACCATCATTGAATATTCGACAACTCATTATATTTTAAAATAAATTTTTGTTTTTACATTTCTCTCCCTTAGTTGTCAAATATTTAATGGTGGTAAGGACAAGGTTGCTCCTTGAGAARCCAAGTTTTATCAGGATTAATTTGGAAATGAGACAATTACCAAYTTGGTTTCCAAACACATTTCTAAATTCTAATTAACTCGTACCTGTTTACTTTTTACTTACTTTTTTCAAATTTGAATTTACACATTTTTCAAACACATTTTCTAATCAATCATCAATCCAACGTTCCAATCAAATTTACACAATTTTCAAACACCTCAACCTCGTGATTGTATCATTCATCTAAATTATCTACCAATAAGATCCATATGTGTTTTATATTCTACTCATTTGAACAACTACCTTCAAAAMTTTCGATCTAGGATGACTGGAGAGAACTATTGTAATTTATATCAAAGTTATCAAGATAGTGCACTAGATCCTTCGAGATCATCTTTTTGGTATTAATTAAGTTACCTATTCTATGTTTCACCACTATTTGTATATAATAATATTTTATTTTTTAAAAAATTGTAAGATTATTTCAATCTTTATATATTTCAATATTTCACATTCAATTGTGTAAGTAAGAACTAGATTGGATTAGAAATGATCAATAAAGCAAATTCCAAATCTTATTAGTTATACTTTATACAGTATTAAAATTCAAATGTTTCATTGGACRGACTAAGATTACAATCATCAAGGTTGCGAGAAATTATAGACGGTAGTGGCATAGTAGGAAGATGATGAAAATAAAATAACMTGAGGAAAAAAAAAAGACATGTCGATATTTCGACATTTCGACGACATTTTGACATGTCGACGACATGGGGGGAAAATCGATTTTCCCCCCTATGTCAATGTCGACATGTTCGACATGTCGAGCTCTTGACCTTTTGAACCCGAAGAATAAGGTAGAGGAGATAAATTTAGTTAAATAGTAAATTTATAGTTCCCGAGTTCTTAAATCCTTCCCTAAACAGGGTAAACTTCCCAACTATACTCCTTTACCCAAACACCCCCAAACGTTTAAAAAGGCCACCGGCCTCTTTGAGTGATAGACCAATGTACTTTGCAGCTCATACAGTTTCTCCTTTTATTCCAAAGTTTGGGTCTATTTACAACTGAACAACTTAAGAATTCTCAATTCTCACGGGATAAATCCATGTCATGTGATAGGCCATCAGTTTAACAATTCTGATTCCTGAACACCCTTTTGGCAATTCCAACCAATTCTAAACCAGTCAAGTCAAGTCATTTTTATAAATCCAATTGGTATTACATTTTGCTCATCGAATCAAATTATCGACAAATGCTCTTAAGAACACTTTTACACTCGAAAGGAGGGGGAAAAATTGAAGCTAGCACAACAAATGTTATCTCATCATTTACATTTTATGGTTTATTTTCTCCTTGGTTTTCATTTCCATTGAAAAAGGATGATAGTTAAAAAAGGGGATATTGTGGCTACTCACTCTTCATCTTCTTCAAGGCCTGGTATGTATTCAAGACTCACATCAAATACCACAGGGCTATTTGGAGCCACCCTTGGCCTTCCTGGAGCTGAGGTCAGGCCTTTGGGGAATGCCAGCTACAGGAACACAACATTTAAAAGAAAAAAGAAAAAAACTTATAATTAAAATGTGATGACGATGACGATGATATGATGTGGTTAGTGTGAATTGTGATTCTATATTGTTCTAATTGCATGTGCCATTTTATTTTGTTGAATTGTACACTTCCTCTACCACTGTACTATGTTGTTGCATCAAATCAACCAATATTTGTGCAATAAAAGATATCACATAATCATTTAGGTAATACTGTAACTACATACAATCACAATTGAAAGTTGAGAGAGAAATTTATCTAAGTTTAGAAACTAAGAGAAATAGCTATCAAAATTTGGGGACTAAAAGTATAATTCAACGAGGACATTCATATCTTCTGGTGCTATATATATACTTAAATTTTTTTATTTTTATATAGTTGCCTAAAATTGGGAAGGAGGTGGTATCGTTCATGTATATACCTTAGCCCACTCATCAAGGTATGTTTCAAAGTGAAGTGTGAAGTACTGATAGGATAGTGACTATGTTTGAGAGCATTTTCGGTGTGACACACGCTTTGCTATGATCTCAAGCACTTTTCCTTCATAATTTTCCATTTTGAAGTAATATAAAGTGCTTAAGTCAGAGCATCCTCAAGTACTTTGTGAGAAAATACCTGTAGATAATGCTCAGTGTGCAAAGCCACATCAAAATGATGTGTTATTAAGCGCTTCTTAATAATTGATGTACTTTTTAGCAAGAGCTTCTTTTAAAAGAATTTCCAAACACATCCTATAATCGGGAGGTGATTATGGATATTGTTAGGGGCATATTAGTAATTAACTAGTAAATTACTAGTTGAATGATTATAAATAGGAGTCAGGGGTCATGGAAAGGAAGCAGATTTTGAGAACAGTTCTGGGAGAGAACCAAGCCTCATGAATATTTAGCAATCCCATTCTAAAGTTCCTTTTATGTTGCAATATATTTCAACTCCTATTTCTCTTGATTTCCAATCTCTAGTTCTATTTCCTACCATAATTATTGTTCTAATCAATCAACTAATTTAAAATGACTGTAGGTCTACAGGTTCCAAACAGTTTTACTGGTTTGAGAAGTTTTAGGAGGGCAAAAATGAAAAACTTCTCAGAGAGAGTAGAGAAAACACATCTTACAGGTCCTGGAATGTACAGTCGACGCTTCCCACCAGCTTTCATGCTTAAAATGCCTTCATCGAGTCCCTTAATTACCTGTTTAATTCATTAAATGAAATAAACATTAATGAACTCTTGAACTCAAAGGACTAGAAATGAGAAGGCACTTTAAGCACTTGCCTGACCAGATCCAACACGAAAGATATAAAGCTGATTCTTCTCAAGTGAACTATATAAATGGAATGCAGATTAGAACTTTATGGTCAAGTTAATTCATAGCTTCCTCATGTTATATACTTTATAGGATGTCTTAGAACAATGGAATATCAATAGTTCCAATGCATTGAGGTTAACCTGTCAAAAATTTGTCCAGATGGAATCATGGCAACATAATTTGCAGCTACCTGTGAGTAAAACAGCAACAAGGTTAGAAGTTGAATATCCTGAACTTTTTTCACTGTATACTCACTAATTASTTTCAATTTAAACAAATGGATTTCTGCTAATGGCTGCAATTMATATATTACGCTTTCTTGTCAAACTGAACTTCAAGTAATAGAGATTCCCTTGATTTCTCTTTTCTTTTTCTTTTTTTCCTCCTTCCTCTTTGTGGGGGTGGGGGTGGGGGTAGGGATAATACAAGCTATTAGAGAGACCAGAATAAATTACAGACCTGAAAACCAACAGGTGGACTAGGGCCTCCACCAACTTTAATGTCCTTATACTGCAAACCAGACTCAGTCGTGACCATAGGAACCTTCATCAACAATAAGAATTCCAAAAGTCATTGTTTATGTGGATCTGCAAATGAAAAAGTTAGTCTTAAATATACAAAGTGCATCCTAAAGTTTAACAAGTTTTAGTTGTTGGGTGCAATTTTCAACAATATAAAATGTTGTTAAGACCATAGTCTACATGCCTGAGTTGTCATCAAGAATCAATGTTCATTTTTAAAAGAAATATTTAAGGTAAAATGACAAAGTTTGATCCCTAATCTATCCRATACTTCTTAAGAGTTTAGGGGCCTATTAGACACTTKTCAAAATTYAAYGACTTGTTAGACACAACTCTAAAATTTTAGAGACTAAACCTAACTTATAATATAAATGTTTAACATAACATTGCATCGCCATATCTCCGAACATCAAAGATGAGTGGGTTACAAGAGATAAGTGAAAAGTGACAAAGGAAAAAGGAAAAAAAAAAGAAAAGAAAAGAAAAGAATTAGAGTGCGGGGGTGTTTAGGGAGAGAATTAGCGTTCAAAAAGGATTACATAGAGAGAGAAGATACAAAAGAGAAAAGTCACTAACTAGTCAATATTCAGTCAAAATAAATGAAAGGACGTGTAACCTCACCATACATTTTCAAGTTCTTTCTCACAGGCATCGTCACATAATCTTGGCTTGTCCTCCGGAGGCAAGCCAGCTGCCTTGACGTTTAGAGCATCTATAACGAGACTTGACACTCCACAAACTAAACCAATCATCTCTCTTCTTCTAGTCAAAYTGAATTCCTTCCCATACTCTTTTGTCTGCAAATCTTTGGCAGTGATACTGGAATTTAAGCAGCGCGCAACTAGAGATCGTATTTTATCACTGGAAATACCATGGTGTTTCCCAGAAGCCGAAGCTGATTCATGCAACAAGATGAACATAAAAGAGATAAATCTTGAAGAAGAAGAATTAAAGATAAACATGTTCAAGTACATATTAAAAATACAAGTGATGCATATCAACTTCATCAAACATTAAATTATAGTGCATAGTCTACAATCCAAAACAATTTGACCTTTTTTTCTGTATTAATTTAGTGACATGAGATAACAAGAACTTGGCTTTTAACTAAAATATGTGTGATGAATCTGATGTATCTTTATGAAATCATTCTCTTTGCAGCCAACTAAAATATGTGGAAAGATGTGAGTTTCAATTTTTTTCAATCCAAAAAGAAGCAGATCCAGGATACAGTCAAACAAAAGAAGTTCAATCTGTAGTTTATTAAATTATAATACTTTAAGCTATATGATMTTTTCCACAATCTACAGTTCCTACATTGGATAATAAACTTAGTTGGCTTCATATTGTAAAGGAGGAAACCAAGTATGATGACTATATGCATCTATTTCCACAACCTCGYGGCTTGGGAAGAGAAAATGCTCCGTACAAGTTTTTGTCTGTGGAAAGTAGCTATTTCCTCCGATGAAAAGGAAAAACTTCAAAGAAGGATAATTGCATGCACTGAAAAGCTATAGTTCTAATTCTATCTCACGTTTTCTGAATAGAACAAGAAAAGTTAGGTAACTCGCATCTCCATTAGTCTGACTGCCAGACATCTGGACCCAAAATTGGATAAGAAATTAACGCTTGCTCAAATCTCCACGATGGATTTAAGTCCTTTAAAACCAGTATTATGATTCAAAGGCCAATGGGGTAAGCTGTAGGTTTAAAGAACATCGTTTGTATAAGAATCTAGTTCTGACTTGAATAGCAAGAGTGCTGGATACATTACAATTTTACAAAAAGAAAAAAAAATGTTTCAAGACTAAACCAGTAAATTGATCCTTGAATTAAAGTTAATCCTACCTCTTCTCCTTCTTCTTCATTCCTCCAACTATAATGTGCTTCAAATTTATCCATATAATCCAACAAGTCGGTTTCATCAAGCTTGCTTAACTCGTAAGAAGAAATTATAAAAATGTCCATGCCCACATTATTCAATTATGTTAAGACAACATAACGTGTTTTTTCCTACAAATTAACCGACTCAGTATTTTTCAATACGTTCGAAGTATTAGATCGGGTCAATCAATAGTTCAAAGACGACGTTAGTAGGAACATCAACAAGAAGTTAAGCCCAAACGTTCAAAAGGATCGCAAAGAAGTTTTAACTAAAAACTAAGTTTAAAAACTTTCGGAGTCCACATTCATCGATTCTTAACAAAAACAGAACATGAAAAAAGAATGAACATCAGTGGATTGGATCAGTCAATCAATTGAAGTGAAAATAGAGATTGGAGAGAAGAAGAATGAAAGGAATAAGAGTGTTACCAAGTGGAAGCAACATTGAGGATGGAGAAGACGCCATGGGAATGGAATTTGARAGCGAAGAATTGGTACCGTTGTGGAAACGGATAACGAAATCTTGAACCTTTGGTTTAAATAGCTGCCGAGTTGGCATCCGCGTTCCGCTTCAATCATCCATCAATATATTTTTATTTTAAATTTCATTTTAATCCCTCAACTATTGTATATTGTATTTATTTAGTCCCTCTACTTATCTAATTTACTAATTTAATACTTTAATTTAAAAAAAATTATTTGGCCTCTGAAACTTTAAAATATATACGAACTTTCAATATGTATTCATTTTGGTTCTTACCATTGTTTTTCTACTGTAGGTTACCGTCGCGCCGCCGGTTACTGCCGTTKGGGATCGCGTCGCGTGCTGCCGTTGGGGCGGCGCCGCTTGCTGCCGTTTGGGGCCACCGCCTGGGATTCTGCCGCCTTCCGCTTTGCTGCTATTGGAGTMGCTGTCGCCGGCTGCCGTGTAGGTCGCCGTCGCCTGCTGCCGTGTAGGTCACCGCCACGTGCTGCCGTTTAAGTTGCCTGAATCGCAGATGTTGGGGTCGCGGCGGCTTATCGAGGGGTAATTGTGATGTATTATTAGGGTTCGGTTGTCGGGTCAAACCCGACCCGACCGACCATTATAATAACCGAACCTAAGCGGTCCGGTTCATTTTTTTACCCCTCTAGAATCTTTATAAAAATTGGCGAGCGAGCTTCCATTAGCAAAATTTATTTCTTTTTTCTTTTAAACAAAATTTATTTCTAATAAAAAGAATCCTTTTGTTCTTATATTTCTAATAAAAAGAATTCTTTTGTTCTCACTTTTTAAAGTTTTAACTACTCCGCCTTGAAAAAACCCTACCCTCTCTCTCATAGAGCTCCTCCGGCGACTGTAGGTGAGCATAGTATTTGGGATTGTGTCTGAAAATTACTCGGTATTTAGGGCTGTTTATTGCTTCAAAAYTTGTGGGTATTTTCACTTTTTGTGAATTTGTATGTTCTGAATTTTTGGGTTTATTTTGGATTGTTTATATATTTTCGTTTCGAAAGTATTTATGGGATATTTTGACTGAATATATTCTATTTTGATATATAGATTATTTGCGAAATAGAGATTATTTGAACTGATTATTTATGGGATGTTTACATGATATATTATGATTGGATTTTATAGAGCTTTCTTTTGGATTACTTGTCCAAAGCGAAACCAGCGCATTTTCAATGGAATAGTGCTCTCATTTGATCGTTATTTTGAGGCTATAGTCTTATGGGTTATTTCTTGGTGAAAATGCTTCCCCTATTTCACAACTATAGCTTTTCATCCCTTTTGTGCAGCTGGAACAACGTTCTGTAATTTCTTTTATGGCCACTTTTGTAATTTCATTTTGAGGCATCCATTATCTTCACTTTGTTTGATGTCTACTGTTCTGTTCTTCACATTGGTTTCTTAATTGTTGTGTATATYAGATTTCCACGAAACGACATCTTTTTTAGAATATTAATTCTTATGTGATGAAATGTAGAGCTGAATGTTGTCAAGTAGATGTGTATGCAGACATTTTTTTTGCAGACGTTGATCTTGATTATACCTTTGATTTTCTATTTCAGAACTAACTGTCAAGGATTCAGCATAATATAGATTGTTTTGAAGTTCAATTTCAATCTTAAGCTGATCCCAGATTGTTTAAGATCATTCAACTWTGTATACCTTAGTTTCATATCGTAAATAATATTTCTTCTGAAGTTTGTGATTTAAAAAAAATGAAATTTTTTCTTCACAAAAAATAATATATCATGTTTACCGATTTTAATTTTAACAAAAATAAAATGAGTTTATAACTTTAAATAATATATTTATCAAAATTTTCATCTTTTTAAATATAATTTTAAATTTTAGAGTTTCAAATTAACAGTTAAACATTAAAAAAAATGTTATTTGTAGAATTTATACTATTAGAATCACATCATCTAAAAACAATTAAAAAAAAAGAATCTGCCAAATAATTATAAGGTGAATCTGAAAAGTTAAAACATTGCATACGAAACAAGCCATTTATACTTTAGGGTTTTTCTTTTTATTCTTTTCATCCCTTTTGCTTTCCCTGAATTTTCCTTCACTCTTGCAATCGCCATCTCCCATCTGAAAACCTTGTTCAAAACCTTCTAATACTTGGTTYGAAGTTGCAGACCACAATTCAGGTATTTCGCTTAATTTCTCTTTTCGAACACTAATTTACTCCACCCATGGCCGTTTGTCCTTTAGACTTTGATCCACTTCTTGACTACCTGGCCCTAACTCAGTCGGTGGTATCCCCTTTTGCAGTGAACCATGAATGTTAGATGAAGTTGTTGCTTTTCAATTTATTTTGCTGGGAAATCTAATGCTTCTAGTTACTAACTTAATGCGTTGTTTTCAGGGCTCTGATGCTCTTGCTCTGTTATTTAATGGCATTTATCTTCTAACTGTGTTTGTTACTTTCCATGACCTCTCTGTTACTTTTTTTTCAGGATTGCATTAACTTTTGGGAAGCAGAGTTGTGGTAAGGATGGTTGAGCTTCTCTTTGATGATATTTTTAAGATCGAGCGATTAAACCCAGATGGTAAAAAGTTTGATAAAGGTGCGCTTTTGTACAATAGTTACCCTCCTTTTATTTGTATAATCTTTTCAAGGCTTCTTGTTAGCCGACTATGACAATTTTGTTACCATAGATTTGTAAAATCGTTGAATTTCYATCTGATTCCTCTGCAATCATGAAGTTGAGTCTTAGGAGTCTGGCTTAATCAAATTCTTTTAGTGGGTCAGGAAAATGTTTTTGAATCACAGGATGCAAGAATAAGCTTTTTAATCATCTGTTAGTGCCTTTGCAGAGTCAGTTTCCTGCCGTGCCATTAATTTAGACTTTTGTTGGGATGGTTGCAGCTGCAGAACCACTTTTCTGGGAGGATACTTAGTTTGAGGATAGATAGGATTGAGAAACCTCCTGAATGTATACCATATGTTATGGAATGAATGAAAGAGTTGGATGTAGAAATAAGTTTGAATTACTCTGTAATTCTGTTACTAACAAAATGGAAATAGAGTGAGAGAAATRTATGAGGTAAGCATATACGTGAGATGTAAGTTTAGTTACGGTAATGTTGGAAGTCTTTGAAGTGAAAAAGGAGAGCTAACCTCTTGAAAGTTTGTCATGTGCACTACATTTTCTAATGTGCGTTTTATCATGGTACTCTCTGGTCGCAGTTTTCCCTTCATATTAGTTATTCCTTACCAGAAGGAAAAAACTATCTTTTTTTTTTTTGATAAGAAACAAAGAATCCATTGATCTATCAAAAAGGGAGACGACCTAATGGGCAGAGGGTTGAGAAAACCCTCCCCAAAGAAGTTCTAGACAATGGCAGCCTTCCAATTTCTAACTAACGTGTAGGCTATAATACAAAAGAATTTCTTGTGGTTTATAGTCCACCATGAAGCATAATGTTGTACATTACTACGAAAAACCTCCTTGAGGGACTGCTTATCGTTGGAAAGCCTACTATTTCTTATTAGGTTCCCGGTTTTCCCCCTTTTTTGTTGTTTGTTCCATAGAACATTTTTGATTGAGAGATCAATTAGTTAGTGTCCCTCTCCCTCTATTATTCATGTAGTCAATATGATTCTTGGTAATAGGGATTCACGTGTATGGTCCCTTCATCTTGTCTGGTGTTTCACTTGCAAGTCTCTGTAAACTCAATTGGTTTCTTCTTTTCTTTTGGACCCTTCTTTCTKTAAACTTTGGAAGTTGAAAGCTTGTAGAAAATTTGGGTCTTTTTAAACTTGTCACCATTTGAAGGATTGACAACTTTGAATTGGTGTATTCAATGTGCCTTTTGGCTTCTCTATGATGCGGAGTTCGGGCATTTGCAGGATGATAGATAAGTCATTTTGTACCTTCTGTTTTAGGGCGATGGCATTATTTTTGCCACATTTTTTTATATAATTAAAAATTTTGCTATTTTATGGAATATTTGATCGGAAATAAATGRGAGAATGAGATACAGGTTGTGGGAGGAAGTTTGGGGTTGAATTTGAAAGTTAACTTTCCTACTTTGGGAGGTTTAATTTGTCTTTGATGGTTATAACTTATAACTTTGTAACTCTTCTAATAAAATGAAAAGTGTAATTCTTTGTTGAAGAAAAAAGAAACCCAAAATGTCCCTGGCATTGCATTGAATCTTTAGTCTAACAGATTTCTCAAAAACTTGCTCGTAGTTCATAATGCCACTAGAACCTTTTACAAGCTCTCTATGATGTTACTGTATTTYGAACCTTATTCTTTTGTATCTCTGCGCCATGTGGACTTGCAAATTTGCATGCRGAATCTTCTTTTACCTCACCGATATGGATMGACTCTTCTCATCCATTATTTGTCGACTTTGTACAGGTTCCCTTATCCTTCCCCATTTCTATGTCATTTGGAATAATTAATGTCTTACTATGAGCCATGTAAAATTTGTAAAAGAAAAAAACCTTTTCAACAGGTATATACAATTGGCATTTATTTTTTGACAAATTGTCCTACAGTTACTCGAATCGAGGCAAAGAGYGAGAAGTTTGACATGTTCATGCATCTAGATATAAATACAGAAATATACAACTTGAAAGAAGGTGAAAAGTTTTCAATGGCTCTGGCTCCAACTCTGAATCTTGATGGAACCCCTGACACGGGCTATTATCTTCAGGTAACTTGTTCTTCCAATTGTTTATACTCAGAGTCTGTTGAACGCTGGATGTAGAGTAGTATAAGTAAGAAAATTGTTCTTTGGTATAGTGGTTACTGGCTGACTGAAGAATTCTATTGGCCTTCTAGTCGGAAATCACTAGTTTTAAAATATCACTTCGACATGAATAGGTAACAGGGAACTTTCAATCAACTAGGAAATAAATGGAAATTGTATGTCTATTTATTGTCATGACTGGTCTTCCATTGTTTTCTGACAACTATATCTGTACCTTCCTCTGTTCAAATATTAATTTGGTCTTAAAAATTCTCAAAGCCTTGAATACGTTTAATTAAGTATTGCTAGTTTGTGTAACAGGGCAATCGGAAGTCGCTTGCAGACAGATATGAATACATCATGCAAGGGAAGCTGTTTAGAATATCGGAAAGTTCTGGACATGGCGGGAGAGCGTAAGTGCCATAACTTTTCAAAACAATTTTGATTTTGAATACTACATTTGGTGAGTTGTACTGATGAGCCATCAAAGAATCGAGAGCTTGACTTAGCACAAGTTACACTTCCTCTATATTTTAGCAAGAATCTGTCTAGGAGAACTGTCACCTGTCTGTAATGGCTACCATGAGTGCTATCATGGTGGACAAAACTCATTTTATTTATTTTTTCTGAACATTTTAGGAACTTGCATTTTTTCTAGTTGAATTTTGTTATCTTGAAAAAGGTTATTTCATCTGAATCCAGGGAAATAGATGCCTCTTTTGGTGGGCTCCTGATGATGCTTAAGGGGGACCCCTCACATTGCAGCAAGTTTGAGCTTGATCAAAGGCTGTTTCTTCTCATCAGGAAGGTGTGAAGCGCTGTCATTCGAGTCGAACTATGATGATGTACGATAGAAGTTGTGTCATCGCCTGTTCCTATAATAACTGTGTAYGTTTAGAAATCTATGTAACCCTTTTACAGTTTCAAGCTATTGGGATCGAATTGAAATCGGGGATCGATGAAAGATTGGGCATGTGATCTATATTTTGAACTAATGAATCATCGCATCAGTCTTGCTATTAATCTAACAATCATAGTTGCGTTGCATTTATGGTGGTTGAATTATCATAATCAAGTTTTGATCACACTTAGCCAGAGAGAAAACTATGGATGGACATTGTTGTAGTGCCTCTTTGAAGGCATCTCGAGGACCGAAGGATCGACTAATAGCAGAAACGCTTTTGATTTCAAAGAGGGAAATAAGGAAAATAGAGATCGAGCATGGTAGTTAATTCGAGAATGAAAGGCATTTATGTTTGATAGGCTTTGACATCTTTTGGCAAACTCTCTAGTTGCAGTTAGATGGTGAGTTTGTCTAATGAAAGAYTTGTCAAAGGATTCTATTTTTCRTTTTTAGTTTTTGAGAAAYGCTGTGATAATTTATTTATTTTTAAGAAATGTTTTTAAAATTGTGTTGAAATTTTTTGATTTTTTTTTWAAATTGTTTTAGTTCCTAAACTTAATACAAAAAATTAATTTAGATTGCATCATTAATTTTGTTTTTACATTATTTAACAAAAGCAGACTGTAGACACACCTTTTACCTAAACATGTCTATATGAAATAGTATTTGTAGTTACCTGTAGTAGATATAACCATTGATTTTTCAAATAAATTTAGATCATTATTAAATGATCAATCAAAAAATTAATGAAAAAGGACTAAAATAGTTTTCTTTTAAAATAGAAGATTTAAGAATTTTGGTGTTTTTTTTCCCCTTGAGTATAACAGGTGAAGGTGGGGGATCGAACTCACAACCTCAGCTATGCTCGCTTTGGTGTTAAAATGGAGTATTTAAGAAATTTCAAGAAACAAAACAAGATTTTAACCTYTTTCTTTTGGGGATAAAATTATAAGTTTAATGTGTTAAACTTTTAAGTGTATTTAGTCTATATACTTTTTATTTAGGAATTACATAAGGCAAATTTCAGGCATATTCAAACAAGTACACGTTATAAARACATATTAGAYATAAAATTTAAAGTCCAAAGACTAATTAGAAATTTTTGCAAATACAAAACTAAATAGACACAATCTCAAGAGTTTAAAACTTGTTAGAAACATTTTAAAGTACGTGGACAAATTAAACACAACTCTGAAAATTCGAATGTGTAACTTATAATTTGACTTAATTATTAGGGAAACAAACAAAATTTACTCATAATCTAATTTGACAAGGTGTATCAATTTTTACTCTAAGTTTTCAATTCTATCAAATTGTACATTAAACTTAACAGAAATGTTGCGATATWTACTTTGAAATTAGAATAAATGTTGTATTTTTTCATTTGAAAAGCATTAAAATGACATTCTCACGTGCTTTCAAAGACATATAGAACACTGACCTGGTAGAGAATGGATGAGACTTCAAAAAAAATATACCATTAGAGCTTAGTTTTTGTTGAACATAAATTAGAGTTCTAGAGATTTGGTCAACGATTGACTTTCTAGATTGTTTGAGCTTAATTTTGCACAAATTTCAGACTTTTTGTTCAAATTAGTGGATAAATGTAAAAGATTTTAAACCGAAAGAAATAACAACATTCGTTTGTTTAAAATTCAATTTGATGGGATAAAAAATTTGTGGCGAAAAGTTAAAAAATTAAATTTGTTAGTACAACGCTAAAAAAACGTTAAAGGAAATAGAAAGAAGATGGAAATCTAAAAACGGATCGGACCGGACCGGACACCGGTTCAGTGATAGAGTTCGGTTTTTGGGGACCAAAAAGCTAGGAAAGAACTGTACAACGGGCGATTACGCTTGTACACAAAGTGAGATCCTCTGTTATCTTCAATCTATATCTCAATTCTCAACTCAACGCAATTTTTTGTCATCATTCCGATTTTCTCTGCAACTTTTTTTCTTCAATCGATCTCTCATGGCTGCCCAAACCCACGTGTTTACTGGGTTAGCTTTTGCTTCGACTCCTGCTTCTTCATTTCAGCCCTCTTCTTCCAACACCGCTACCGCCACCCTCTGTGTCGTCACCAAGTCCTTAAGAACGTCCTTCCTTAATGGCGGAGGTATTTCCCCTTGCTCTTCATTCCCTTGATTTTACTTCCAGTTTGGTTGGTCCGAAGTACGTGGGAAAATTGAATTGAATTGGATTGAAATGTTCTCAGTGAATACTTCATTTCCTTGTATGTTCTTTCGAGTATTGGAGTGTTTGTAATGATTATTTGATAGCTGGGTGCTTGAGAAAAGTGGTTTTAAGCTGTTAAAGTCATAGCATTGTGCTATGGTGTAACTATTAGTGCTTGTCCTGCAATTTTGACATGTTGATTTTGTGTTGGATCTGTTGTAATTTACACTTCTGATTTTGCACCATCACTTGAAAAGGTGCATTCGGAGATCCAAGGGATTCTTGCTTTTTCTGTCTTCCTGAATTTGTTGTTAGTTTTCAATATTTTTTATCTGGTGGAGATGCTAGTCAGGTTCTTTGGTTTCAGCAATTCCTTGACCCCTTTAAGTTCATAAATTTGAAATTGGGATTACCACCCGTTTGTGCAACTTTCGATGGGACTTGTGGGCCATTTAGTTTTTAATATTTTAAGTAGATGATCTAATGCAGTAAATCCTACCACCTTGTATAAATATTAGGTCTGAAAAAATCTTTACCTTGATAAAACCTGTAAATCCGATTCCCCAATGCTTATAGGGAATCTACTGTTGATGTTGGGCGACCTACAAGAGAGAAGATATTGAATTTTCAATTAACATCTATGTGGTAGTTGTMAAAACGGCTTCGATTGTCAAGTCAATATGCTATCATGAAAAGTGAGAGATGAATTCAATGAAGTTTAGAAATCAAAGAAAAAAAAAAAAAAAAAAAACCCTTGAATGACCATGAGAGTGTCATTTATAGGAGTAGAGAGCTGAAGGAAGAAGAAGAAGAAGAAAGAAAGAGAGAGAGAAGAAAGAAAAGTAACCTCTTTCTATGTTCCTATCTAGCTGCATCCATTATATATCTGCCTCTTTCACCTTGCAAGGGCACCAACACATGTGCGTGTGTGCAAGTGTAGAAATACTTGTCCAATCATTGCTTTGTGTGCTAAAACGTGTATCCAATTCCACCTAAAGTTTATTATAACTGTATACTTAGTTACACTCACAGGAAATAATAATTTTTCCTGCAGTGCACACTTCACAAATTACAAGGTTGAAGTCTTTACATATTGATCGATCCCGTGGTTGCAGACGTGGAGGTGSTCTTGGTGCTCGCATGAACCTTTTTGACCGTTTTGCAAGGGTTATAAAGGTAGTACTTTCAATTATTTCATCCCTTCTTTAAGTAAGCTTTTGAACTTCACGCAGTATGATAATAATCATGACATTTGCTTTCTCATGAGTAGTCGTATGCAAATGCACTTGTAAGTTCCTTTGAGGATCCTGAGAAAATTCTGGAGCAAACAGTGCTTGAAATGAATGATGACTTGACAAAGATGCGTCAAGCTACAGCACAGGTAAGCTTCAGAATCTTGTATTTATCTGTTTTCCCTGCCTGCCTTACTTTGAGAATTGCTTTCTGTTTCTGAGCCAGTAGTGCTGTTTTTCCCTTTCAATTTTTCTTTATTCATGATTCAGGTTTATCAATGGCAAATTGGAAGTTGTGTGTTATTCGGAAATATTATTTAAGGATGCGAATATACCACATGACTCGCTTAAAATTTATGAAATAAATAACTTTTATAACACATGGAAAGCCAATATAGTAAATATGTTTCTTATGTTTTAGTCCAGCCTCACTAAATAGTCTCTTCTCTTCTGGTTCCATGTAGCCATTTTAAATAGCAGGATGGGCCCCCTTGGCCCTCCCTTCTGGATGTGAGTTGGGTATGTGTGAATTTTGTGGGATGGGTAGAGCTTGACATTTGACAGTGGACCACAAAATGCAATGCCATTCCTTTTGTTTTTGTTTTTGTTTTTTTGTGTGTGTGTGTGTATGTGAATGAAACAATTTTATTGGTGGATGAAATTACAAAAGATGACGTATCCAAGTCAGGAGTTTCATAAAACATCTCCACTTGGAAATGTTTTCCCTTTTTCTTGAAGGTGTTAGCTTCTCAAAAGCGCTTGGAAAACAAGTATAAATCTGCACAGCAAGCTGCTGATGATTGGTAAAAGTTTAAAACTATTATCCATTTTCTTAGTGGAATTGTAGGCATACACATTTCATTTCTAATTTTTATTTTAGGTATCGCAAAGCACAATTTGCTCTTCAAAAAGGAGATGATGATCTTGCTCGGGAAGCTTTAAAGAGACGCAAATCATTTGCTGTAAGTTAGAACATATTCTTTGTCGAATCTGATACCTATATTTCAAGATAATCACTCATTATCTATTTTGGAACATTCGCCAAAGTTTTGGTTATTTTCATGTAAAAGGTTCACACAATGGTTCTTCTAGTAAAATTTCTTCATTTCATGACACATTGTTAACATGCTTGATCTCTTATAGTACATGGCTTTACGAGGATTTAATCATATTTTGACAAATGACCTGTGTGTATAATTTTATTGCCCTCTTTGTTTAATAAATTAACTGAATATGTGGACAAGCACATGGAAATGAATAGATTTAATGTTGTTCTACTGGAAAGGCATTCTTTTTTATTTAGAAACCTTTTATATCTACAAGTTTATGCTTGACACCCCTCACGGCCCTCTATTAATGTTCCTCAATGAAGACAGCCTAATGCCAATGGGCTTGCAGTAGAGAAATTATAAGAGAGGGAGGGGAGTTCTAAGAGGGTGGATGAGAATGGCCTCTATTCACAGTTTCTATAGTTATATTCTTTACTCTTTCTAAGAACCTCTTGGTTTCCTTTATCTATGGTGGGTAATTCTTCCTATTTATTTTTTTCGTTTTCATTTGCCCCTTTGTGATTGTGAGTTCATTGTGTTGTGTTAACCTCCATTCTATCTACTATTAATGGAGTCATTCTTTCTCTTGGGCATAGAGATTGTTGTGTTTGGTTCTTTGATCCTTTTCAGTGCCTTGACCTGTTATTTATCTTTTCAGCATTTGGGTTTTACTCAATCCTTGAATACCCACCTTTCTTCTCTAATCTAAGCTTTGGAAGCTAAAGATCCCGAAGAAAACCCAATTTTATTGTTGGTTGTTCTTGGGAGGAGTAATACATTAAACTTTATTCAAAGAGCATCTGATTTTGGCCTTGGTCCAAATTAGAGTATTTTGTGCAGGTATGCTTTTGAAGAGACTTAAACCACCTCTTGTGGCTATGTGGCCTTTTGCTACCAAGGTGTGAGGCTGTTTCTGGTGGACTTTTAGTTTCTCTTTGGTTCTAGGTTTGTGTTTGTAGGGATGATGGAGAAAGTTGTTTTGGATCCTTTAAATGATAAAGGCCAGCTACTTTGGCAAGCTGGTTAGTTTTTTCATTGGTGGAATATTTGGTTGGAAAGAAACTAGAGATTTTTTTTGGTATTGATAGTTTATGGGAGCAGGTTTTGAGTGGATGCATTTTAGTGGCTCTCTTTGGGTTCATTCTCCTAAAWTTTTTTTGTAATTACCCTTGTTTTTTTTTGACTGCCAAGACTCTTTTCTATATTGGTCCGCCCATGTTCTTTTTTGTTCAGCCTCCTTTATACTTCCTGAGCCCTGAATGAATGCTGGTTTCTTCATAAAAATTGATATTTGCAAGATGGTATTTACCAACTTGAAGAAACCGTTCTAATATTTTGTCCAATATGGAATTATTTTCATGTTATATTTTCTCCTATAGGTAGGCTATTATAAACAATATTAAATTTGAAAACTTCTAATTCTGTATGACAAGATTTATAATTTATTGTTACTGATGATCATTGTGTTCTACTGTCAGGATAATGCAAATGCTTTGAAAGCTCAACTTGATCAACAGAAGAATGTTGTGGAAAATCTTGTTTCTAATACTCGGGTATGAAGTTCTAATGTATTTTCCGTTGGCCATCACATGAAAATTTTAAAAATCATATTCAATAAAAGAATTTAAGAATRTAGCCCAGATTCGCTTGTATTACTCCTGTTGGCAATGTAATTACATATTATTGGTAACTCTTTTTTTTTGGATAAGAGACTTTCATATTAATAAACAAAAAAGGATACAATCTAGGGGCTGAGGTAGAGTGAACCCCATCCAACTGACACTAAACAAACGCTTTYCAATTGCTCATGAACAAGGAAAGGTTGCATTACTAAAGAATTTCCTGTAATTAATACACCACCAAGAAGCAACGTGCTGTACATTGCTACAAAAAATGTCAAAAGGAGTAGATTTGTCCTCGAAAACCCGGGCGTTCCTTTCTAACCAAATATGCCATAGGAGAGCTCTTGAGGCACAATTCCACACAACTTTAGCCTTTTCAGGGAGCCACCAGCCTTGTAGGGCTTCTGAAAGCCACTCATCAATCTGCTTGGGGAGACAAGTGGAGGTGCCGAAGAGGTTTAAAATGACATACCAGCTTCTAGATGCAAAAAGGCAGTGGATGAAAAGATGGTCTATATCCTCTCCACTACTTATACAAAGACTACACACTTGTACAACTTATAGTATAGAAGGCTGGTGGTAACTCAAGGACACAATTGTACAACTTATATAGAATATATCTTGTTGAAAAAGGTCATAATAATGCAGGTTCCCATGACTGTCCTATTTTAGCTTGATATGTTGTTAATATGATTAGAATTAGAAAGAGGTAGGGACAAGTCGTAAGGGTTGTTTGTCATATATTATATGCTTGAATATTAGTAAATCTAACTTTAAGCTATCTAAACAAGGATGAGTTAGTCGATATCATGCTATTTCACCATAGGAACTTTTCTTTGTAGCTTTTAGAGAGCAAGATACAAGAAGCACGGTCAAAGAAAGACACACTGAAAGCGCGTGCTCAGTCTGCGAAGTTTGTATTTTAATCGTAACTTTTTTTTACAAATTTCTTTGCTTCTTATTGCTTGCTGATACCACCTTTTCATGGCTTTAGGACTGCAACCAAAGTGAGTGAAATGTTGGGAAATGTTAACACAAGCAGTGCTCTCTCTGCTTTCGAAAAGATGGAAGAGAAAGGTAAGGAAATTAAATATTAAAGTCAAGCTTAAGCTTGCTTGCGTCACTTTTGAAGTCACTTTTGTTTAGATCTTAATTTGCTTTCTATTACAATATATTTTCAAAATTTTAAAGTTAAGAGTTACTACATTTTCTACAATATAGAAATTTCATTATTGGTTTTTTCTCATGGAGATGAAGTGTCTTCTATAATGAGCTAGTTATATTCTTTCTGATATTTGGTTATCAGTTTTCTAACTTAAGATATGAAATTATTTCTCATTTTTCCTATGCAACCTGTCTTCTCCATCATTCCAACATCCCCCACTAAGTCACCTTAGCCGGTAGCCACAGCTATTTCCTCTATTCCTTCTATGTAAGCCTCCAAATTCCACTTTGTGAACCGTCCCTTCGTTGGAAACCTTGGAAATTATGTCCCCCATTTTCTATAGCACTTGGGGGACAATTTTCAATAGCCAAGTTGGATCTAATTTACTATCTGGCTTTTATTGTGTTTATGGATCAAGATTTACACCAATAATTCTAGCTTTTTATAAGAAATGTGAATCCATGAACTGTAGCTTCACTACACAATTTTACATTGTGATGTGAACCCTTTGTTTGGCTGGGTGGCCAAGCAGCAGATGCCGATCAAGTGGTCCCCCCCACCCAGGGAAAAAAAAATCCTTTATTTGTTGCCTTTGCCGATGCCCACATAATGATATTATGGTATTGCAATTTTTAGGAAAATACCTTAGGTTCTGTTTTGGTGTGTTTTCTGGACTTTCTTAAAAATGTTCAATATTGTTTTAATTTGAGAACTGTCTGAAAATTAATCCTTTGTTTTTATGTTTTTTATTTGTTTCTTCYGTGTGTGTTTATATGTTTGAATTCTCTTCTATATGCATATTAAATTAAAAATATAATCCATTAAAGTCAAGTTATTTTTTAAAAGATAACTAATGCATGAATAGTTAATTTATAAAACAACAAAGAAAATGCAGGAAAATATCAAAAGAYAATTTCTGGTTTGTAGCTATTCTTTGTTCTGAAAAACTGTTTCCTACTGTATTTAATATTTTTCTGTTAAAAACAGTCTTATTTTAATAATAGACAACCAATTTTAAGCATGACTTCTAAGTAGCCACTTGCTTTTGAGTCTCCATCTTTTGCACTCAAGTTCCCTTTACATTAAAATTTCAGTCTATCTATCATATATATCTGGATCCCTGACATGGTGATTAGGCTCATTGCTGAATCAAATCTTTGCTTCAGTTTCTTATCACTACTTGAACAGAAGATTATTGAAGCTACTATTACTTTATTTAGTTATATTTTCCTATTATGGTTTTTCCTTGTCATACTGTTCAGGTTCTTGCATATATGTTACTTATGAATCTTTCCTTRCTTTTCTTATTTGTTTAATTTTTCATCAAAATCTTGGTAGTTTTGGCAATGGAGTCTCAAGCAGAAGCTCTTGGACAGTTAACTGCTGATGATCTTGAAGGAAAGGTAACTGTTCTGTTTTCCCTCCAAATTCGTTTTGTGCTTGATTTTATTGCTGGTCTATAAAGCTTAAAAACAGAAAGTAGAAGGTATAATTTCTTTTAAAAATCATTAAGAGGAGGCTAATTTCTTGATTTGGTTYCTTCTAGAACTTCAGTAAGTCCTTTTGGTTAAGTATTTTGCAATGAATGGCTCCAAAATAAAATATTTATTTGGGAATTGTTTGTTTCTCTGTTTGTTTTCTTGGTTTAGCATATTTTGAATGTTGGTTAATTTTGAAAGTAATGTGATCTTCTAAAGTGTGACAAAATATCTCTTCCTAAGAAACATGTTTCCCGAGATGAAAGTATGCCTAGTTCTTTGGTAGAACGTAATTTTCAATTATGGAAATTAATTACTGGATTTTGCATCGTTACATTTGACGTTACCTAGAAAGCCTCCTCTCATATCCTAGGTCCAAATTGGTCTAGGAGCATAGTTGAGGATTTGAATCATCACTTGTGGTTATGCCTCTTTTCCACCAGAGTTTGGAGTAGTTTTTTTTATAGGGTTTTAGTCTAGCCTATGTGTAGGGATCAAGTATCTGTGAGATGCTGGATGAGGCTGTTTTTTAACCCATTTTTTGGGTAGGGGACGAGTTCTTTGGTAGGCCAATTCCTTTGCTATTTCGTGGTTTATTTGATTGGAAAGGAATAGGATAGTTTTCCTCAGACAGGATAGCTATGGGTAGGATGGATGTATGGTATGCGACTTTTTAATGCATCCCTGGGCTCTCAATCAAATTTATTTTTGTAGTTACCCGTTAATTTTTGTTTTCAAAAGTTGGAGGCATTTTGTAAATATTTTGAGGTGTGCTTTCTCGGTTTTGGTCGGGCCCCTTTTCTTTGGGTCTCTCCTTGATGTTCTTACATCTTAAGTTGGTTTTTCTATCATATTCATAACAAAAGGGTTTAAATACTATTTTGATTCTCGTACTTTCGATTTTGGTCTCTAAATTTTTACAATGTCTACTTTGATCTCTGTACTTTCAACTTTTGTTCACTTTAGTCGCTGTACTTTCAGAATGTCAGTTTTGGTCTTTGACTTTTAAAGTGAYTATTTTGGTTCTTTCGTTTTCATTTTTATCTAACTTCTTTCAATCACAGATATGGATTAATGCTGTTAATGCACTATTTTTTGAATTATGGTTTGAAAGAAATTCGAGACTTTTTAAGGGCAAGAGCAGATCCTTGTTCGAGTCTTTCACTTAAGCTAAGTTCAAACCTTCCCATCGGTGATCTCTTGTTGATCCCTTTTTGCACTATTCTCCTAATCTGATTTTTACCAATTGGAGTGCTTTTATTAGTCCTTTGTAATTTTTGTTTCTTGTTTTCTTTTCCTTCACTCTTTAGAGAGTTTAAATCTTTGAAATTTTTTTTTTGTTCCTTTTCATACATCAATGAAAAGTTTGRTATCTTGTTAAAAAAAAAGTATGACACTTAACTCACAAAATTTCTTGATATGTAGCCATGAAACTGTATTAAAGGGTTTTCATTATGTATAAAATTTATGTTAACATTTTGCAAACACTTACCAAAATGRCCCYTTTTTAAAAGTATAGGAACCGAAATGGACATTTTGCAAGTATATGGACTAAATTGACAATAGTTGAATTTACCGAGACCAAAGTGAACCAAATYTGAAAGTACGGGACCAAAATAGTATTTAAAACAAAAAATAAATGAACCAACAAAATAGGGAGATAAAAAGTGAAGTGTTTATTAGTAACTATTGTAATATAGAGTTGATTGTGACTGGTTCCCTGGGCTGCCTTTTTATTTTATCTATGTGATGTGAACTGAGATATATTAGTTACTCTTGTCTMTGCTCCCCTTCATCAATGAAGATAGGGCTTTCTCCTGAATTCGCAATTGATACCTTATGATTAAGCATGTTACACCTTCTGTGGTTTTGCCTTCTGGTCAACCCATGTTCATCATTGAACGTCTATTTTCAATATTATAGTTTGCTCTGCTGGAGGGCTCATCGGTTGATGACGAGCTGGCAAACTTGAAGAAGGAGTTATCTGGTAGCTCAAAGGTAATCATATTTATTTTTAAGATTTATTCTTTGTTACGTAGATTACACTTTACAGTGGGAAGTGTTGTGAATTTATGAAGCTAGATTCGCCATATTCCACTCTTTACTTTTTTTTTTCCCTTATGTCTGACCATGGATTCAGATGGGGTCCACTTAATGAAATAGTGTTGTTTTGTTAGCATGTGGGCTCCCATGTAACTGATAGTCATTGATGTTCCATACTTCTTCAAGGGGGGTGAACCAGAGACAGAAGCCTCATTCCTCAAACATTGGRGAGAGAAAAAAAACCATTCAAGGGGTTAAGAGGAAAACATTTCTTCTCAATTCTAAGAAATTTTTTAGCTCTGCATAATTGTTGTTTAAAGAGGCAGTAAGAGGGGTCTATTGATGTAGAGTTTTTCACAAAGGAAAAAGTGCTATTTCGCGCGAACACGGGGTTAAGTACCTCGTTTCGCTCGAAGACTGACCCGATCTGTACCCACCTCTTGAGAAAGTTTCAAATTGACGGTGCACATATTCTAAAAAAGGTGTGAGGGAGAGAGCTCTACTCCTAAAGCATAGAAAAGATACCAGTTTGGAAAACCTAGTTCTGTTTAAGTTTTGCTTTGTTGTTTCCTCCCTCACTCTTTGGGTTGTCATAAGATTGATCAAACTATGGAAGAAGGTATGAAATAGTTTGGATAACCAAGTTCTAATTGAGTA